AACCGAAACTCTGCTGAAATTCTTGGAGAGACAGACCAAGCAGGTTCCCTAAACGCTGTCTGGGGAATACCCGCTTCAAGTTCAGGCCAAGGCTCTGATTATCACGACGGAGTTTATCCTGTTTCTGCAACTTCCTAGGAAAATTCTGGGATCATTTCTTTACATACGCACGGCTGCTTTCTTAGGGTACACATAATTTTATGTTTACATCATTTTATATCATGCGAAATAATAACCATGCATCCCCGCAGAAAGATTATAACTACTGAAGCTATGCAATGTCTTAAATCATGGAGTCATCTTGTGTGTGAAAGCAAAAGTTGAAAAGTGAAATAGAATTTTTATGGCCTACACATTTCTTTTCCATTTTGCATATCTTACTGGCCTTAATATCCATTTATAGTGAATATAAATCTGTTATTGCACAGCTGGTTGATGTCATCACAATCACCACAATACACAGATGCATGAATTACAAGCGATGACACAGGAAAATACTAGGCAATTCAATTGCCGATCGGGATTCCAACCCGCAAACCAAAACAACTGTAATTCATTTATGCTAGAAACTTCTCTGGTGTGCTTTGCTTTAGAGGACGAAAACAATTAGTCAAAATTGTTGTTGCAGAATTCAAACATATTGCGTGAAAAAGGAACTTAGTGTTTCCGTCAGGGGTTAAAGAACAATATCCAAGCGCAGAAGGTTCCCTGGAAGTTTATAAATGTTTTTCTTTGTGAAAGCAAGTCTGTTTTTAATGTTGTAGTAATTATTTTAATTTCTCACACAAACATTGTTTAGAGTATACGTCATGTGCGTCTACGTAACCTTAACAACACTGAAATAAAAATTTCATGTGATGGAAACAAAAATTATCTACTTTATCGTTGCGTTTTAAATGCTCTTACCTTATATATTCAGGAATTATTTTAACAAAGAAATCTCAGAGTATTACATCCGAAAAGATAACTGGATTGAGTCGTAGCTAATAGACAGGGTACACATTTTTGTACACCATAATTTGTACGCCAGAATCTGGACAAGAATAAAGGTGTGTGAAGACATGCTATAGCCAATATTGAATATTAGTAATAAGAGTAATGCGAAGTGGTCCGAAATAACTGAAATTGTAATAAAGTTAACGGACAGAGTGTAGGCTAGTTGTAATTGACGTATTAGATTGGAGGGAGAAAATAATATGTTCAATATAGTCCTTGAGCCATTACACAAAACGAAAGAATCCCTATTTCTATAATAATAATGTTCCAACTGTGATGAACATAAGTATATTTGTAAATGGACTTAAGTGTGATGGTTAATTCATACCTCTGCCCTCTGTACCAGTTTTTCTCCATCTTTGTAGTACCGTGGACCTTCTTCCCCAACTATCTCATTATTTTCATTAAACAGAATACGCTGCCTAAATCGTAGATGTGAGGTATAGTTTTTCGCCATGTCGTTTATTCCAATGTGGGAGCAAAAAATGTGATTAAAAAGTTTAAAACTTACAGCATAAAAAATACGAGTAAATCTAGTCAACACGCTGACCCCTCAGGCACAACTTACGGACCCCCAGTTGAGAAACATACTCAGTAGTAAAAAGTGTTTAATTATTCTGTTGGACTTTATCCATCGTCCCACTGTTTTCAAACCGTTTTGAAAGAACTTCAACTTTCATATAAGGTGACAGGTGGGAGGGGGGGACGAAAACGTGCTTCATTTCTGTTTGGCCACCCCTCCACCCTGGTCAACTTGGCCCAGATTGTTATGATGGTTTGAAAAACATATTTAGACGATGGATAAAATCTAACAATGATTTACGCGGTGTCATCAGTAACCTTTAAGCTTGGTCTGTATTGCGTTTCTGAGCCTCCGAACAGCCTTGAATGTCCAGAGAGGAAATTATTCCCCGTCATTAATAGTAAATTACATAATTTGCGTCATTCTAGGCAATTGTGGGAACCAAAATGCCATTTCCTTGTTCTTCATACTTTTTGTTTTTAGTGGGACGGCATTACCAAGTTCACGTCCGTATTCATAGCCATCTGTTATTTAAGTATTAAGTACAGTTTTCTGTATATTCTTGAATATGTTTATTTAAACTTAACGTATTTACGTTTTGCAGAATTTCCGTTTCACGTTAAATGTCTCTTAATCTTCAAACTTAATTTCTGCCATAGAAATGTTTACTTCATGATTTCCTGTAATCACTACTTTTCATTTGGATCCACAATTTTGTATACTTTCATTTGTGAATTTGTTTGGGTTTTCTTTTCAGGATTCTTCTGTTTCTTTGTCACGTATGACGTATGACCGGGTCGTGTAATTTCCAAACTTATGAATCTGTGTATTTTGTTGCAATGGTTAACTGACTTTTAGAATGACATTCCTCCTTCTCCGCTCAAGAAATTTCCTTCAAGAAAGAGTACTGTAGGAGTCAGAACCGTTTACCAAAATATTTAATTTGTCGGTTTATCATAATCAGCCAAACTCTGCGAAATTGGGCTAATTGATTGTGTCAGATCTCGAAGGTCCAAAGCAGCAAATACCAAATCTCAGCATTCAACACGATCCTAAACCACTTCACTTCATGTGGTAATCTTATTAACAGTTTGAATAACGCTATTACAGCATAGACATGTTTGTGATTCACTATGAAACGCAAAATACGTTTTCCAGTTTGGAGCAAGCAATGTTGTGATTATCCCTCGTTGGTATTTCAAGTGTGTTTGTTGAAGCTACAACGCTGTGGTTGACAAAGCTAATCAAGAATACACATGGTCATGAGTTCTGTCATTGACAGAGATAATGAACAAGTGAAAGATTTAACTACGTGGAAGAATAAATAATGTTTCTTGTTTTTCATGAAATATAATTT